GATTAAGACCTTTCCAATGCATATAAGCTTATTTCTAGAAGTTACCTGAGCTGCACGCAATGTTCCGTTGAAGTCGTCAGACTTAATCTCTAATTAGTTCTCTCCAGATTTGCACGATTTCCATCAGTCTTGTCTTGTACAGCTTGATAATCAAAGAAATTCATGAGCAAGTATCTTACTAACAGCAGCGTTAGAAACTCAACTGATGGAGTTTGTAACGGGAACCTAGTCTTTGCGCCTGCCTCCACCATGCCGGTCGACCTCTTCCCCCAGGTGCCACTTTCATGCACTGCCTCAATTCCGTCCTGCTTTCATTCCTTCCTCTCATGCAGCACTTGATTCCTCTTCACTTGTTTTGCACCAAACCCCCCCTCCCTGCTAAGAATGCAACCACCTCTAAGTGTGATAGGGCCTGCCATGAGCTCTCCTTTAAGCTGCGCTGCTTCGGTAGTGCAACCGGCCACTACGAGATGGCTGTGTCATGGGTTTTTGGTGGCGAACGATGACACGGATGACAAGATGCCTGAGCTGGAATCTTACGACGCAAAAGCCAATGAGGAGAACAACCATGGCACGGCTGATGTGGAAGAGTACGTCGATAAGCTGGCTACTACGGCAGCAGATCCGTATGAGGAGAAAGCTCCCTAGGCGATGCCCGACGTCGCGGTTCCTTTCTTCCTGTCGTCGAGCGAGACGGAGTCGGTCAATCACAATGAGAGACCGTTGTCGCCTCGTGCTAAGCTGTTAGGCAACAAGTGGTGATCCATCAATGCACAAGAAGCTGATGTGGGCTTCAATATTTGACAATTTCGTGCCCCCTCACAGAGGATGGTCGCACGCATGGTGAAGGTGCAGCCAGTGATGATCCGCGAGTGGTGAAAGGCGCGAGAGCAGCTGAAAGAAGTGGCGCCCGAATGGAAGCGTCTTCACGGAGCAAATAGATCCACGTGTATCCCGACATCGAGCGGGCATTCTTTTGCCGTTACCTCTGCGCGAGGCGATGTGGTCTCCCCATTTTTGTGGGGCTACTCCTGTCATGGAGTTGCGATTGGATGCGCGACCACTTCCCGAATGTCGACTGGAGGGCATCATCAGTGGAGTCCCGAAAGAAATATCCGGAAGCGCCGGATTCCAGGGTGAAGGAGAACATGGCAGTGGCGGCAGGGGTCGGAGGATCGAGGGTGGAGCCAAGGCTAAACAAAGCAGGGGATCGTATGCCTGACGCGGCAGGGGAGTATGAATTGGGCACACTAGGCACGTCTACACTAGGCAACACGGGGTAATAAGAACCAGTCACACTAGAGTCATCGACATACACCACATACAAAGCAGAGCTAATCTCATCCATGTCCATATCAAAGATCCTAACACCACGGCGGAGCAGACTGTGCCAGTCGAGGAGGTCTGGCGCCGTGCCGAAGCGGAGACGAAACAGGTCGTCTAGGCGACTGAAACAACGAGTGGGGGAATGGCCGATCTTACCGCACACGAAGCCGCGGTGAGGACCGGTCTGGAGCTGGTACTGGCAGCGCCCGTCACTCGGACCACCACCCGACGTCACGTTGCGCGCACGACCACTGGGACCACCTCCACCGCCGGCATCAGGCCACCGGGGGGGGGGAGACGACCAACCCGCTGCAGCAGCTGCTGCTGCTGGTGCGGCTGTTGCTGCTGCTGCTGCTGGTCCAGCTGCGACGCCTGCTGCTGCTGCTGCTGCTGCTGCTGCTACTGGGGCTGCTGCTCCAAGGCCACAGCCCCCTCGTCAGGACTATCGGTGGGCGAACCACCTCCACCACTGTCTCCACCCCCGCCTCCACTACCTCCGCCGCGCTCAGCCTTGGGGCGGCGACCCTTACCCGGACGAAACTGCGCTGCTGCAGCCGCAGCGACTGTCTCCGTAGCAGGGGCTGTCTCAGCAGCAGGGGAGTATGAATTGGGCACACTAGGCACGCCTACACTAGGCAACACGGGGTAATAAGAACCAGTCACACTAGAGTCATCGACATACACCACATACAAAGCAGAGCTAATCTCATCCATGTCCATATCAAAGATCCTAACACCACGGCGGAACAGACTATGCCAGTCGAGGAGGTCTGGCGCCGTGCTGAAGCGGAGACGAAACAGGTCGTCTAGGCGACTGAAACAACGAGTAGGGGAATGGCCGATCTTACCGCACACGAAGCCGCGGTGAGGACCGGTCTGGAGCTGGTACTGGCAGCGCCCGTCACTCGGACCACCACCCGACGTCACGCTGCGCGCACGACCACTGCGACCACCTCCACCGCCGGCGTCAGGCCACCGGGGGGGGGGAGACGACCAACCCGCTGCAGCAGCTGCTGCTGCTGGTGCGGCTGTTGCTGCTGCTGCTGTTGGTCCAGCTGCGACTGTTGCTGCTGCTGCTGCTACTGGGGCTGCTGCTCCAAGGCCACAGCCCCCTCGTCAAGGCTATCAATGGGCGAACCACCTCCACCACTGTCTCCACCCCCGCCTCCACTACCTCCGCCGCGCTCAGCCTTGGGGCGGCGACCCTTACCCGGACGAAACTGCGCTGCTGCAGCCGCAGCGACTGTCTCCGTAGCAGGGGCTGTCTCAGCGACAGCAGCGGTACCGTCAGAGTAAGTGCACAAAGCGGGGGCATAGCCCTAAGAGATAGTGACCGGCACAGTACCGCTAGACTGGGCGATAGAGCGCTGACGAGTCTCTATGGCAGATTGGGTGTCAACAAAGTCAGTGAGGGTGAGGTCAGCGGGTTGGAGACTAAGAAAGTAATCTTGGGCGGTAGCAAGGCGGTCAGGGAGGCGGGTGGCTAGCAGGTAGAGGGTACAGCAGATGGGGGACTCGAAGCTGGGCCTCAGTGCAGGCAGCGCGCCGGGTCGCGTCTAGCATGCGCAAGTGGGCGGCCAGATCAGCGACAGTGGTGAAATACGCGAGATCAGGGAAGAGCATGGGCAGGATCAGCGACCGACGGAGGCAGAGGGTGGGGTGGAATGGCACGCGACAACAGCCTCTAGGAAATCCTGCGCAGTCCTGACCAACCTAAAGCGGGGGCGCTCAGATAGGGGGAGAGCATGACTAATCGCGAGTTGTGCGACAGCGTCATGCGACAACCAGACAGAACGGGCAAGGGGAGCAGCGGCAGCGGACTCACGGTCAGCAGACGTGGGGTCAACGGGTAGAGCAGCAGGGGGGTCAGGGCAGGGAAGCGTACCGTCGATGTGGACGGCCAGGGAGTGGCAGACCTGCCGCTGACCGGTGAGGTGACGGCGGAGGACGACAAACCACGTGTCGAACTCAACCGGCTGACCCTCCGTGTCAAAACGCAGCACCGAGTCCGCCATCATGGTTGCTGTAGCAGCAGAAAGGCGGTAGTGGGCTGTACTGAGCGACAGAGTGCGGCGGGAAGCAGTGGTGTGCGGTGTGGTGCAGTGCAGTGCGGTAGACTAGTAGATTGAGGTGCAGTATGGTGCGGTGCAGCGCGGTGCAGTGCGCTACAGTGCGGTGCAGTGCGGTGGAAAGGGCCGATGAAGCGAGGTGGGAGCCGAAGGGGCAGCTGAGGGACGGGGCCGCAAGAAGGCTGGGCGGCGAGGCCGCAGAGCGGCTGGTCAACAGGGGCCGCATGGTGGCTAGGAGACGGGGCCGCGGGCGGTGAGGGCCGGCTGGGCGACTAGGCCAGCGAGGTGACAGGCCCGGCTGGGCGACGAGGCCACCTAGGCGACGGGGCCGGCTGGGCGATGGGGCCGACTAGGCAACGGGGCCGGCTGGGCGACGGGTCGGCTAGGCGACGGGGCCAGCGAGGTGACGGGGCCGGCTGGGCTACGGGGCCGGCTGGGCGACGGGGCCAGCTAGGCGCTAGGTGACAAGGGGCCACTAGGGGACGGGCCAGCACGAGCGGGAGGGCGACGGGGTGGCTAGGACCTATGGCGGAAGCGCTGGTGGGCGGGGGGACCTAACGTATTCATGATACCATATCAAAGTTAACGAATGAATAGAACCATGACATACAAGGGAATATAACCTAGTGGTTTGTACTTTCTAAGGCACAACCCCGTGCAGTCTATAACAACATACAAGGATATGGTTGACAGCATATTCATGCTCATCAGGTGTGTTATGTGCCAATTTTCAACCAGACGTCTCAGATCTGCCGAGCCTCGACCGTGTGCTTCGTGCCTAGCTATTTTCTAGCTTATGGGTTGTTTTGATGCGGTCATTGTATTCCCCCTAGAACACATGAAGGTAACATGTTGCGACTGTAATCAATGAAGATTTAACGCATAATACAGTACACGAACAATGAAACAGCCGAAGCTGGCGGGGAGCTTGTGCCCCGAGGAACACGCGCATGTGTCGCGAGGTCCCATCAGCAACCTGAGCTTTTCAGAGGTGCTTTGAGCCTTTTGCTAGCTGCAAGCAGTGCTCCTCCGAACTTGCGGCATCGCTCCTCGGAGGCCTCAGCCAAGCGTTTGCTGACGCGTGTGGATGAGCAACCGCATTTGCTGACGCCTCTATAGTGTAGGAAAATAACAGCCGTCCGATCAAAACCATGATTTGACATCCAAACTACGATTTGTGGTTCCGAATATTCCCCTGATCGCAGCGACATTTCCGCTGCCAAGCTGGCAACCGGAATCACCTGAGCTGGTTTCCCTAGGCCATTGGTGGTGGTTCAGGGGATCGCTATCATTTTGCGCGTCTAGTGGCTGGCGAAGCGAGCGAAAAGAAGAAGGCGGCGGCGGACGATGCAGGGAGGTTGTGGGATTCCTGGCCCGAATCCCGATTCCCGCCGCATCTCCCTCTGATCCCCCCGGTTGGCTGTGCAAGGCGAGGAACGAAGAGGTTGCGGCTGGCGTTGCTCCTCTCCTCTCCCTGTGCTGCCTGCCTGCCACCAACCAACCGCCCACCCTACCTCGCCTCCTTGGAGTCCCCTCCCCGTCCCTCGTGCCTCCCCCGTCAATCACCATCAAAGCAGCAGTAGCACCTCACTTCAGCTCACCCACCCTGTACTCCTTTCTTCCGTTCTTCACTGAGTTCCCCTGCCTCTTGCGTGTCGTTCAGTGCTGTGCCAACATTCTGAACTCGAACCTGTCAAGTATTTCTTCTTGTATTCTTTGTGTGATAGGAAAGACGGGAACGATGTGACACTTGGTACTCCAGCCAATCACAGCTCCCTTCTGCCATTATTACATTCTATCAAGACTGGTTGCGCGCTTCTAGGCTCTCATCGCCTTCCGCGAACGCCCACCATGATCGTCACTGAGCCCGTGGACGTGCCGGGCCCCACGAGGCGCCAGGCAGGCGTGGCTCGCGGGGCGGGCATAAGCTACGCGTCCGCGCTGCTGCACCGCTCCGCGTGTCAGAGCGGAGTAGCTCCCGCGCCCAAGGCAGCTGATCCAATCCCGCCCTCCCGTCCCGAGGCCACTAGGCCGCAACCGCAGAAGAAACAACAGCGGCATATGGCGCCGCAGCAGCTGCAGCAGGCGGCACCGCAGTGGCCCGTGTTGGGACGACGGTCGCAGGAGTCATCGCAGGCACAGGCAGCACCGCAGGACGCAGCACAGGCATTATCACAGGAAGGGTCGCAGGCGGTACGCCTACAGCCAGGTAAGAAGCAGCAAGGTAACGCGTGGGGGCTTCGCGCCGCACCCGGAACGGAAGCACGGCAGAAGCAGTCGTTGCAGTCACAGCCACAGCATCCGCCACAGCCGCCGCCGCAGCCGACGCAGCAACAGTCGCAGCAGCCGCAGCCAAGGCCTGAACCCAAGTCGCAGCCGTCGCAGCGAGCCGTAGAACAGTCCAGCGACCACGAGTTCGACTTCGACGACGTGTTCGGCCCCTCGCCCGCGTCTTCTGGGCGGCTGTCCTCATCGAGCAGCCTAGACTCGTCACACGACGCGTCGTCCGGTCGCCTGGCGACGGCGAGCGGTCGCAATCTTCGCACAGTGGCGGAGATGGACGAGGACGACCTGGCCGGCTGGATGGCCGACGAACAGCTGCCGGATCTGGCGGCGGGAATCCCGGGCGACGAGCCGCCGGAGATAATCACGCACCGGTCGCACTCGCTGGTGGGGCCCGCCGCCATCACGCCGCGGCAGAGCGTCGCGCGATCCAACAGCCGCCGCTCGTCGCTCGACGAGCCGGACAGCGCGCGACCGTCGCTGATGGGAACGTCGCCGAGCATGCGACAGTGCTCGCTGGAGTCGCCGAGGAAGGCCGTCGCACGTGCGATGCTGGAGGCTGGGATGGCAGCGGAGGGGAGAGGGGGGACGGCGGCGGAAGCCGCGGTAGCAGTAGTCGGGGCGGAGGGCGGTAGGGAGAGTGACGCGACCGGCGCGGTAGAGCCGGAAACGGAAATCGCGACGGAGAAGGCGGACAGGATAGGGCCGGAGGATTTCGAGCTGCTGCGGGTGGTGGGGCAGGGCGCGTTCGGGAAGGTGTTTCAGGTGCAGCAGCGGTGGACGGGCGAGATCTTCGCGATGAAGGTGATGAAGAAGCATCGCATCCTGGAGCGCAACCAGGGCGACTACATGCGCGCCGAGCGGGAGATCCTGACCAAGGTGGTGCACCCCTTCATCGTGCAGCTGCAGTACTCCTTCCAGGTGCCGCCCCAAACCCGACCCCTCCACCTGCCGCCCTATACCCCAACCCCTCCACCTGCCGCCCTAAACCCCAACCCCTCCACCTGCCGCTCTAAACCCCGACCCCTCTTCATGCCGACGGGTCGCTAGCTCGTAGCCGTGTGCGCGTGGCGCAGTCTTTCCTTCGTCCCTGTGGCTCTCCGCGCCGCGTGGACTCGCCTGCCCACGTGCCGCAGCGCTGCTGCTGCCTCGACTCTGCACTTGGGCCTGGCTGGCAGAGTGCAAGTCGTTTCACTCCCCCCATCACCCGCACTCACCCTCCCCTCTCCCGCCCTTGGCGCGCCCGTCCATCCCTCCTGTCCGCGTCTCCCCCCCACCCCCCACCCCACCCGCACCCAGACGAGCGCGAAGCTGTATCTGATTCTGGACTTCATCAACGGCGGCCATCTCTTCTTCCAGCTCTACCGCCACGGCACCTTCAGGTACAACCACCCCCCAGGTGGAACGCCAGGTAGCGTGCGTGCCAGGTGGAGCGTCAGGTAGCGTGCCAGGTGGAGCGTTAGGTAGCGAGCCAGGGGGAACGTCAGTTAGACACGGAAGCATGGGTTCGCCCTAGTGCTGTCATCCACATGTCGCTTGTCACTCGGACCGTGCCCTCTTCCCCCCTTCCCCTCCCCACGCCACACCCGGCAGCAACTAGTCACAGTACCGGGCTGTCCACGCCACTTTACCTCTCCAAACCCTCAACCCCGGCCACTTCTTCCTCCCCTCCTCCCCCTCTCGCCCATATTCCCCCCATGTTCCCCCCATGTTCCCCCCATGTTCCCCCCTGCGCCTGTGCCAGCGAGGACTTGGCGCGCATCTACACGGCGGAGCTGGTGCTGGCCGTGGGGCACCTGCACTCGCGGGGCATCATGCACCGCGACCTCAAGCCCGAAAACATCCTGCTCGACTCCGACGGCCATGTGAGTGCCGCGCTGTGACGGCCATGTGAGTGCCGCGCTGTGACGGCCATGTGAGTGCCGCGCTGTGACGGCCATGTGACCACCATGCACGGCACAGCACTGCACCACCCACCATTCACGTGCCGCCCACCATGCACGGCACAGCACTGCACCACCCACCATTCACGTGCCGCCCACCATGCACGGCCTCACAGTTGAGCTGGGCGTGGAGCTCTGGGACAGGGACCGACCATTCTCCCTCTCTTTCTCGCCCTCTCTTTCTCGCCCTCGCGTTATCACGCCCAATCGCTTCCCATTTTCCACCTGCCCCCCATCCCCTCCAACCCCCCCATTTCCGCACCCTTCCCAATGTGCGCCGTACCCGGCGCGGCAGATCAAGCTGACGGACTTCGGGCTGGCGAAGGAGGTGCGGGCGAGCGACGCGCGCAGCAACTCGCTGTGCGGCACCATGGAGTACATGGCGCCCGAGATCATTCAGGCGCACGGCCACGGCTTCCCCGCCGACTGGTGGAGCATCGGCATCCTGCTCTACGAGATGCTCACCGGCCAGGTGCGATGGGCATATGAGCGTGTCGTCAGAGCATGTTGCATGAATGGCATGGGATGTGTAACGGGAAGCCATTCCGCTCGGGTGTTTTGCATCGTGCTCCCACAGCTGCAATGCCTGTGCCTGCCATCACTGCTCCACGCCTTGCAATTTCACGCCCTCCCACACTCCCTCGTCCCACTCACCACTGGTGTCGTTGTAGGCCCCTCGCTGCTCTCCCAGTGCCCCGGTTCCACTCGCCACACCCCAGCCCAGCACATTGGTCACTTCCATCCCCCATCCCCTCCCCCTCCCATTCCAACCCCTCAACTCGCACTGCTCTCCTCCCCTCTGCGTCCCACCGCTCACCTCTTTTTCTCTATCTCTTGTCGCCGTCTTTCTCCCTCCCTTGACGCGCGTGCAGCCGCCGTTTTCGGGCGGCAACCGGCAGAAGCTGCAGCAGCGCATCGTGAAGGAGAAGGTGAAGCTGCCCAACTACCTCACCTCCGAGGCGCACTCGCTGCTGCGCGGGGTGAGCGGGGAGGACGGTGGGGCGAGAGGAGCGGTGAGGAGAGGGTGGGTGGGCCGAGTGGAAGGGTGGGCTGAGAAGGAGAGATGGAGGGGTAAGCTTACAAGGAGGGTGTGTAGGGGTAGGTTGAGAGGGCGGGTGTGGGCGGGGGTGAGGGGAGGGCAGCGAGATGGTGGAGTGGATGGAGGGGCTCATGCCTTGCACGCCTGCTCCTTGCTCTCCGCGCTACAAACCATGTCATGGATGGCCAGCTGCCCACTGCATTGCCCTACGTCTTTCAGTGGCCTGTGAGCAAGTGCTTAATCCCCTGCCATGCCTCACCCCACCCCCCCCTTGGGCCTGCCAGCTGCTGCAGAAGGACCCGGCGAAGCGGCTGGGCAGCGGGCCCAGGGGCGTGGAGGAGATCCGCGCGCACAAGTGGTTCAAGGGCGTGCACTGGCAGCGCCTCGAGGCCCGCCAGGTGCAGCCGCTCTTCCTCCCCGCCGTGACGGGCGGCAAGCGGTGCACCGCCAACTTCGACACAGTGTGGACGCAGATGCCCGTGCACGACTCGCCCGCCGGCACACCCACCATGGGCGGCGCGGACGCCTTCTTCCGCAACTACACCTTCATCGCCAGCCACGCTGCGCTGTCCACTGTCGATAGTGACAGCGATGGTGAGGTGGGGAGTGGTGGGTCGGAGGAGAGGGACGAGGAGGAGGAGGAGGAGGAGGAGGGGGGAGAGGGAGGGAAGGGTGAGGAGGAAGTGGTGGAGAGGCAGTGAGGAATAGTGGTGCGCACAGTGGCACGTGCAACCACCATTCCACCCCGCTATCCACCTCACCGCGTACTTACATGGCCCATCCTGCAACCACAGCCATGTGTGCTCGTCCAGCCACAGCACCATGCACTCGTGGTCCCGCGCCCTCCCATGCGCACTGCATGCCGTGAACCGCGATACAACATGTGCTCTCACATCCTCAACACCTTCCGCCCCACAGCTGCGCCCTGCCACCTACACTCAGGATGCAGCTGCAATTTTGTGTATGTCCGTTGGACACCTCATTGCTTGTTTACCTCGTAGGTGGTAGATGTTTTCATTATTCGTTTAGTGCTCTTGTGGCAAATGTGAAAATAGTAATACTTTTATAGTTTGATACTATTTCATTGTTGTAGGTAAGCCACGCGCTGTAAGCATGCAAGAGAGATTTGCATCAGTAGCGAGTCTGTCTGCGCTCGCATCCATGTCGGGCTGCCCCCTATCCCTCGACTTGCCCTGCCTGCCCCCTATCCCTGTCTGCTTACTCGCTGCTCCCCTTATCGATATTCCGCCATCCACCGCGCGCTCAAGGCCTGGATTGTCTTTGCGCTCGCGGAGAGCCGCATTCCGAATGCCGTCTGCCACGTGTGCAGCGGGGCCGGCATTGGCCCCGCTGTCGCTACCCGCGCGAACAGCCGCATCCGCTACATCCGCCCGCTGCGGCGCGTTCGTCTCCCCATACTACCCGCCGTCGGCGCTCGCGTGTAGCCTTCCGCGCGCCAACCCCACCGCGGCCGCGCCGTCCCGAACGCGTCGAGGGCCGCGGCGAGGGCGCAACGGCCCAGTGGGGGGAGAATTCGCGGTGTCGGTGGCGGAGGGGCAGACGGCGGAGGGGTCTGCGAGTGAGGAAGAGTTTGAGGCGGTGATCGGCATTGAGACGCACGTGCAGCTGAGCACTGACACCAAGGTGCGAGGCACGTGGGGGCCACGTGGTGAGCACGTGGGGGGCACGTGGTGAGCACGTGGGGCATATTTTAGGGAGCAAAGCATGGCAGGCCCGTGTGGCACAGGCGGTGCTCGGCGCGGTGGATTCACGGCGCCGACGCTGGGCGTGCATCGTCGCGCACTCCGCTCTGCAATCACTCGCTCCTGCTCCTCAAACCTTCCCTTTCCTCCATTCCCTGCATCCACATTCTCTCCCCTCTTCTCCCCTCTTCTCCCCTCTTCTCTCCTCTTCTCCCCTCTTCTCCCCTCTTCTCCCCTCTTCTCCCCTCTTCTCCCCTCTTCTCCCCTCTTCTCCCCTCTTCTCCCCTCTTCTCCCCTCTTCTCCCCTCTTCTCCCCTCTTCTCCCCTCTTCTCTCCTCTTCTCCCCTCTTCTCCCCTCTTCTCCCCTCTTCTCCCCTCTTCTCTCCTCTTCTCCCTCTTCTCCCCTCTTCTCCCCTCTTCTCCCCTCTTCTCCCCTCTTCTCCCTCTTCTCCCCTCTTCTCCCCTCTTCTCCCCTCTTCTCCCCTCTTCTCCCCTCTTCTCCCCTCTTCTCCCTCTTCTCCCCTCTTCTCCCCTCTTCTCCCCTCTTCTCCCCTCTTCTCCCCTCTTCTCCCCTCTCCCCTCTTCTCCCTCTTCTCCCCTCTTCTCCCCTCTTCTCCCCTCTTCTCCCCTCTTCTCCCCTCTTCTCTCCTCTTCTCCCCTCTTCTCCCCTCTTCTCCCCTCTTCTCCCCTCTTCTCCCCTCTTCTCCCCTCTTCTCTCCTCTTCTCTCCTCTTCTCCCCTCTTCTCCCCTCTTCTCCCCTCTTCTCTCCTCTTCTGTCCTCTTCTCTCCCGTCTGCCCCCTCACCCACCACCTGCCCTCCGCGGCCTCGCCAATCGGCGCAGCAACACGCACTTGCTGCGAGCCCCCCCTCCCGCCATGCAACACGCACTTGCTGCGAGCCCCCCCTCCCGCCATGCAACACGCACTTGCTGCGAGCCCCCCCTCCCGCCATGCAACACGCACTTGCTGCGAGCCCCCCCTCCCGCCATGCAACACGCACTTGCTGCGAGCCCCCCCTCCCGCCATGCAACACGCACTTGCTGCGAGCCCCCCTCCCGCCATGCAACACGCACTTGCTGCGAGCCCCCCTCCCGCCATGCAACACGCACTTGCTGCGAGCCCCCCTCCCGCCATGCAACACGCACTTGCTGCGAGCCTCCCCTCCCGCCATGCAACACGCACTTGCTGCGAGCCCCCCCTCCCCCCATGCAACACGCACTTGCTGCGAGCCCCCCCTCCCGCCATGCAACACGCACTTGCTGCGAGCCCCCCCTCCCGCCATGCAACACGCACTTGCTTGCGCGTCCCACTCACTCCCATTCCTCTCGCCCCCCTCACCCCCATTCTCTCGAACCCTGACCCCCATCCTCTCGCCCCCTGACCCCCATCCTCTCGCCCCCTCACCCCATCCTCTCGCCCCCTCACCCCATCCTCTCGCCCCCTCACCCCATCCTCTCGCCCCCTCACCCCATCCTCTCACCCCCTCACCCCATCCACTCGCCCCCTCACCCCATCCTCTCGCCCCCTCACCCCATCCTCTCGCCCCCCTCACCCCCATCCTCTCGCCCCCTCACCCCATCCTCTCGCCCCCCTCACCCCCATCCTCTCGTCCCCTGACCCCCATCCTCCTCTCGCCCCCCTGACCCCCATCCTCTCGCCCCCTGACCTCCATCCTCTCGCCCCCCAACCCCCATCCTTTTGCTCCCTCACTCCCATCCTCTACCCCCCTGACCCCCATCCTCTCGCCCCCTGACCCCCATCCTCTCGCCCCCTGACCCCCGTCCCCTGCCCCCTCTGACCCCGTCCGCAGGCCTTCTGCAGCTGCCCCTCACGCTACGGCGCGCCGCCCAACGAGCTCGTGTGCGCCACGTGCATGGGGCAGCCCGGCGCGCTGCCTGTGCTCAACGGCGCCGTGGTGGCGGCGGCGGTGCGCCTGGGGCTGGCGCTGCAGTGCCGCGTGGCGGAGAGGAGCAAGTTCGACCGCAAGCAGTACTTCTACCCCGACCTGCCCAAGGGCTACCAGGTGCGCGCGCTGCCACGTGGGCTGCCAGGTGGGCTGCCAGGTGCCAGGAGGGCCAGCATATGAGGTAGCAGGTGGGGTGGGGCCGTGTAGGGCGAGCATAGGAAGGGCAGTGCAGCGGTGGGTTCTGCGAGCCATTGTGGCACCACTGCATTCCAACGCTCGCTCTCTATCACTACTCTCATGCCCCCACCCCTCCCTCCCTCCCTCCATCCCTCCCCCGATCCCTCCCCCGCTCCTCCACCTCCTTCTGCCATGCGCTGTGCCACGTGCGGCGCGGCGCCACCCCAACGCGCACAGATATCGCAGTTTGACAAGCCGCTGGTGAGCGGCGGGCACGTGGTGGTGGATATGCCCCTGGAGGCGGGCGGCGGGAGAAGGCGCTTCGGGGTGACACGCGCACACCTGGAGGAAGATGCGGGGAAGTCGCTGCACGGGGGCTATGGCAGCCAGGTGAGTGGCAGGCAGGTGAGTGGGAGGCAGGCGAGCGGAAGGCAGGCGAGTGGAAGGCAGGCGAGTGGAAGGCAGGCGAGTGGAAGGCAGGCGAGTGGAAGCCGGCACGCCATAGCTGACAGCAAGGATGGGAGCGCGATGAGCATTTATTGGAGTGGTGGTGTACTGGCATTTGCAGCAGACAATGGAAGGATTAGATCACGTGAAGGCGATGCCATTGCCATGGGCGCACCACGGCCATCACATCCCGCCTTCCTGCCCGTGCCGCCACCCTCATCCCCTCTCAGGTGGATCTCAACCAAGCGGGGGTGACGCTGGTGGAGGTGGTATCTGAGCCCGACATGCGCACCGGCACTGAGGCAGCTGAATACGCCGCGGAGCTGCGGAGAATGGTGCGTCGGAGCTGCGGAGAATGGTGCATCGGTGCAGCTTGCACGCCATGGAATGTGCACTGTGTCCGCTGTATGTGTGCGCTGTATGTCTGCGCTGTATGTGTGCGCTGTATGTGTGCGCTGTATGTGTGCGCTGTATGTGTGCGCTGTATGTGTGCGCTGTTTGTGTGCGCTGCACGTGTGCGCTGTACGTGTGCGCTGTACGTGTGCGCTGTACGTGTGCGCTGTACGTGTGCGCTGTACGTGTGCGCTGTATGTGTGCGCTGTACGTGTGCGCTGTATGTGTGCGCTGTATGTGTGCGCTGTATGTGTGCGCTGTATGTGTGCGCTGTATGTGTGCGCTGTATGTGTGCGCTGTATGTGTGCGCTGTATGTGTGCGCTGTATGTGTGCGCTGTATGTGTGCGCTGTATGTGTGCGCTGTATGTGTGCGCTGTATGTGTGCGCTGTACGTGTGCGCTGAATGTGTGCGCTGTATGTGTGCGCTGTACGTGTGCGCTGTACGTGTGCGCTGTACGTGTGCGCTGTACGTGTGCGCTGTACGTGTGCGCTGTACGTGTGCGCTGTACGTGTGCGCTGTACGTGTGCGCTGAACGTGTGCGCTGAACGTGTGCGCTGTATGTGTGCGCTGTACGTGTGCGCTGTACGCGTGCGCTGTACGCGTGCGCTGTACGTGTGCGCTGTATGTGTGCGCTGTACGTGTGCGCTGTACGTGTGCGCTGTACGTGTGCGCTGTACGTGTGCGTTGTACGTGTGCGCTGTAGGTGTCCGCTGTAGGTGTCCGCTGTATGTGTGCGCTGTATGTGTGCGCTGTACGTGTGCGCTGTACGTGTGCGCTGTACGTGTGCGCTGTACGTGTGCGCTGTACGTGTGCGCTGTACGTGTGCGCTGTAGGTGTCCGCTGTACGTGTCCGCTGTATGTGTGCGCTGTATGTGTGCGCTGTACGTGTGCGCTGTACGTGTGCGCTGTACGTGTGCGCTGTACGTGTGCGCTGTACGTGTGCGCTGTACGTGTGCGCTGTACGTGTGCGCTGTACGTGTGCGCCGTAGGTCTCCGCTGTAGGTCTCCGCTGTAGGTCTCCGCTGTAGGTGTGCGCTGTACGTGTGCGCTGTACGTGTGCGCTGTACGTGTGTGCTGTACGTGTGCGCTGTACGTGTGCGCTGTAGGTGTCCGCTGTACGTGTGCGCTGTACGTGTGCGCTGTACGTGTGCGCTGTAGGTGTCCGCTGTAGGTGTCCGCTGTATGTGTGCGCTGTATGTGTGCGCTGTACGTGTGCGCCGTAGGTCTCCGCTGTAGGTCTCCGCTGTAGGTCTCCGCTGTAGGTGTGCGCTGTACGTGTGCGCTGTACGTGTGCGCTGTACGTGTGTGCTGTACGTGTGCGCTGTACGTGTGCGCTGTAGGTGTCCGCTGTACGTGTGCGCTGTACGTGTGCGCTGTACGTGTGCGCTGTACGTGTGCGCTGTACGTGTGCGCTGTACGTGTGCGCTGTACGTGTGCGCTGTACGTGTGCGCTGTACGTGTGCGCTGTAGGTGTCCGCTGTAGGTGTCCGCTGTAGGTGTCCGCTGTACGTGTGCGCTGTATGTGTGCGCTGTATGTGTGCGCTCTGTACGTGTGCGCTGTATGTGTGCGCTGTACGTGTGCGCTGTACGTGTGCGCTGTACGTGTCCGCTGTAGGTGTCCGCTGTAGGTGTCCGCTGTACGTGTGCGCTGTACGTGTGCGCTGTACGTGTGCGCTGTACGTGTGCGCTGTACGTGTGCGCTGTACGTGTGCGCTGTACGTGTGCGCTGTACGTGTGCGCTGTAGGTGTGCGCTGTACGTGTGCGCTGTATGTGTGCGCTGTATGTGTGCGCTGTATGTGTGCGCTGTATGTGTGCGCTGTATGTGTGCGCTGTATGTGTGCGCTGTATGTGTGCGCTGTATGTGTGCGCTGTATGTGTGCGCTGTATGTGTGCGCTGTATGTGTGCGCTGTATGTGTGCGCTGTATGTGTGCGCTGTAGGTGTCCGCTGTAGGTGTCCGCTGTATGTGTCCGCTGTATGTGTGCGCTGTACGTGTGCGCTGTATGTGTGCGCTGTACGTGTGCGCTGTACGTGTGCGCTGTACGTGTGCGCTGTACGTGTGCGCTGTACGTGTGCGCTGTACGTGTGCGCTGTACGTGTGCGCTGTACGTGTGCGCTGTACGTTGGCGCTGTACCTGTGCGCTTTACGTGTGCGCTGTACGTGTGCGCTGTACGTGTGCGCTGTACGTGTGCGCTGTACGTGTGCGCTGTACGTGTGCGCTGTACGTGTGCGCTGTACGTGTGCGCTGTACGTGTGCGCTGTACGTGTGCGCTGTACGTGTGCGCTGTAGGTGTGCGCTGTAGGTGTGCGCTGTACGTGTGCGCTGTACGTGTGCGCTGTACGTGTGCGCTGTACGTGTGCGCTGTACGTGTGCGCTGTACGTGTGCGCTGTACGTGTGCGCTGTACGTGTGCGCTGTACGTGTGCGCTGTACGTGTGCGCTGTAGGTGTCCGCTGTAGGTGTCCGCTGTATGTGTCCGCTGTATGTGTGCGCTGTACGTGTGCGCTGTACGTGTGCGCTGTACGTGTGCGCTGTACGTGTGTGCTGTACGTGTGCGCTGTACGTGTGCGCTGTACGTGTGCGCTGTACGTGTCCGCTGTACGTGTCCGCTGTATGTGTGCGCTGTACGTGTGCGCTGTACGTGTGCGCTGTACGTGTGCGCTGTACGTGTGCGCTGTACGTGTGCGCTGTACGTGTGCGCTGTACGTGTGCGCTGTACGTGTGCGCTGTACGTGTGCGCTGTACGTGTGCGCTGTACGTGTGCGCTGTACGTGTGCGCTGTACGTGTGCGCTGTACGTGTGCGCTGTACGTGTGCGCTGTACGTGTGCGCTGTACGTGTGCGCTGTACGTGTGCGCTGTACGTGTGCGCTGTACGTGTGCGCTGTACGTGTGCGCTGTACGTGTGCGCTGTACGTGTGCGCTGTACGTGTGCGCTGTAGGTGTGCGCTGTACGTGTGCGCTGTAGGTGTGCGCTGTAGGTGTGCGCTGTATGTGTGCGCTGTATGTGTGCGCTGTATGTGTGCGCTGTATGTGTGCGCTGTATGTGTGCGCTGTATGTGTGCGTTGTATGTGTGCGCTGTAGGTGTGCGCTGTACGTGTGCGCTGTACGTGTGCGCTGTACGTGTGCGCTGTACGTGTGCGCTGTAGGTGTCCGCTGTAGGTGTCCGCTGTATGTGTACAGCGTGTGCGCTGTACGTGTACGCTGTACGTGTGCGCTGTACGTGTGCACTGTACGTGTGCGCTGTACGTGTGCGCTGTACGTGTGCGCTGTACGTGTGCGCTGTACGTGTGCGCTGTACGTGTGCGCTGTACGTGTGCGCTGTAGGTGTCCGCTGTAGGTGTCCGCTGTATGTGTGCGCTGTATGTGTGCGCTGTATGTGTGCGCTGTACGTGTGTGCTGTACGTGTGCGCTGTAAGTGTGCGCTGTAAGTGTGCGCTGTACGTGTGCGCTGTACGTGTGCGCTGTACGTGTGCGCTGTACGTGTGCGCTGTACGTGTGCGCTGTACGTGTGCGCTGTACGTGTGCGCTGTACGTGTGCGCTGTACGTGTGCGCTGTACGTGTGCGCTGTATGTGTGCGCAGTATGTGTGCGCTGTATGTGTGCGCTGTACGTGTGCGCTGTACGTGTGCGCTGTACGTGTGCGCTGTACGTGTGCGCTGTACGTGTGCGCTGTACGTGTGCGCTGTACGTGTGCGCTGTACGTGTGCGCTGTACGTGTGCGCTGTACGTGTGCGCTGTACGTGTGCGCTGTACGTGTGCGCTGTACGTGTGCGCTGTACGTGTGCGCTGTACGTGTGCGCTGTACGTGTGCGCTGTACGTGTGCGCTGTACGTGTGCGCTGTACGTGTGCGCTGTACGTGTGCGCTGTACGTGTGCGCTGTACGTGTGCGCTGTACGTGTGCGCTGTACGTGTGCGCTGTACGTGTGCGCTGTACGTGTGCGCTGTACGTGTGCGCTGTACGTGTGCGCTGTACGTGTGCGCTGTACGTGTCCGCTGTAGGTGTGCGCTGTACGTGTGCGCTGTACGTGTGCGCTGTACGTGTGCGCTGTACGTGTCCGCTGTACGTGTCCGCTGTAGGTGTCCGCTGTACGTGTGCGCTGTACGTGTGCGCTGTACGTGTGCGCTGTACGTGTGCGCTGTACGTGTGCGCTGTACGTGTGCGCTGTACGTGTGCGCTGTACGTGTGCGCTGTACGTGTGCGCTGTACGTGTGCGCTGTACGTGTCCGTTGTAGGTGTCCGGTCCTGTAGTGTGTCGCGCTGTACGTGTGCGCTGTACGTGTGCGCTGTACGTGTGCGCTGTACGTGTGCGTCTGTACGTGTGCGCTGTACGTGTGCGCTGTACGTGTGCTCTGTACGTGTGCGCTGTACGTGTGCGCTGTACGTGTGCGCTGTACGTGTGCGCTGTACGTGTGCGCTGTACGTGTGCGCTGTACGTGTGCGCTGTACGTGTGCGCTGTACGTGTGCGCTGTATGTGTGCGCTGTATGTGTGCGCTGTGCGTGTGCGCTGTGCGTGTGCGCTGTGCGTGTGCGCTGTGCGTGTGC